CAACTTGTATTTGGAGCAGAGGAAGAACAAGTCCTGGTTGGGACATGGTCTCCTTTGCAAAGCTATGGAGTATACACCTGCACTCATGCCCAAGGCTCATGTTTGTGCTTCCATTATAGTGGCCTGCTCCAGACTCGCACTTGCCTGCCTTAGAGATCCTTGACATCATCTGTTGTAGTGAATTCAGACAGATCTTCCCTGTGGAGCCAGTTGCTTTGACCATAAATATCTAACAAATATCCAAGAGATGTACTACTGGAATTCCCGAAGTTGAAGCACATAGCTGGGTTTTTAGCTTGTTGGGATAACAAGCTGAGCCGAGCCAGCTCGTTATCCTAAAGAGCTTTACCGAACCGAGCCAAGCTGGCTTGCTATCCACCCCTAGACACAAGGCTAGCTAGTCGCTAAATAGTGATTTTGCATTGCATTCCAATTTAACCCCTTAATTAACTGATATTCGCCACTAAACTTTTTAGACAAGGTGAATTACCGCTAAACACCATATAAAGTACTAGTGGTTTTGGTCCTAGTGCAATCCAGTCAGCCAAGTGAATAAAACAAAACTGAATAAGTTTGCCCGGCCCACATGTCAATCATGACCTTCTTCCATAAAGCGAGCGTTTCACTGGAGTGAAGACATAAAAAGTATCGCTAAGGACATGTATGAAGTATTAAATATAGAAAAAAAAACTAATTAACAGATTGCGTGTAAATTACGAGATGAATCTTTTAAGCCTAATAGTTACATGATTTGATAATGTGGTGCTACAGTAAACATTTGCTAATGACGGATTAATTAGGTTTAATAAATTCGTCTCGCAGTTTACAGGCAGATTCAGCAGTTTGTTTTATTATTAAACTACGTTTAATGCTTCAAATGTGTGTCTATGTATCCTATGTGACACGGTAAAAAAATTTACCTCTGGATCTATACACAACCTTAGAAATTGATGGTGTAGATCTTTTGGAATACTGTTTACAGAAGACCATACAAAGTTTTCTCCTGTAGCAGGCACTATATAGCGGTTACTGTTTATAGCGGTAAACACATAGTAAGGTGATAAGATGGACTGCTCCACCATTAATACTACTAGCAAAGAATACTTTGTTGGCAGATTAACCTACATGCACAGAAAACGGAGCTGCGACGTGGTATGCAATGCACCAGAACACATATGTTGGATGAATATCATGTTATCTATCCTTGATTAGTATAAACTACTCCTATATAGTTTTTTTTCTTTGTTGGTAATTTCAAAATGGAACTTTGTTACCCATGTTTGAATTATTTGTTCTTTTTTATTTTTGATATATATTGTAATGGTTGTATGCGTCTGTAGTTGGTGCGCGTACGTGGGCATAATGCATGTATCATGTATGTGATTACACTTTATATTATATATGGATCAATCTCTCATGTTCACGTTTGGATTTTATTGATCACTATTTTTCATGGAAACACATAAGATTAAATCTACAGTTATTATATTATAGTCCATCTAATCGATGCCCAGATCTTTATAGTTATTATGAGAGCCCTAGGAGACGTGTAATTAGATAGAATAGGTATTTATATAGTGAATATATACTATTTGCTCGACATATAAAACCTTAGAAATGCAACAACATTTGGTCCAAGTTTGATGAAAGGATTTTGTTGTGTTTGAAGGCAATAAGACGTACTCATTTTTTTTTTGTGTGTGATTCATGAACAGAAAATATAAGAGGCGACAAAGCATCTATGTACTAACGAGTTTTAAAGTTGTTTTCACCTAACACCGTCGAGGATGGGAACTGTTTGAGTCAGAAATAATTTTTAGAGTCACTTTGTGAACTTCAAGGGAAAAAATATACTTTCTTCAATAAATGTATGGGGTTATGGGGGAGTTGATGCATGATTGTATGGATCCGAGAAGTGATCAAGGATCACGTTGAGATCCGTCCAAAGTCACCATGGCTCAGCGCTGCAACTGCTTATTGCCGGCAGGTTGCGCATTGCCGAGCTGCTGGCAACCACTAGCTAGCACCCAGTACTCTATCCTTTGGACAGCGTAGCATCCCGAGAGACCCACAAGAGTGTTCACAGTTCATTAGGCTTCTCTGCTCAACTGACCACGTGTGATGTGCACCGGACACAAAACACAAATGCAGGTTATTATATGAGTTATTTACGATGTTTGATATGCCTATTTCCTACGGTTAAAACAAATAAACTCATAGGCTGTGTTTGTTTTCTAGTGTTGGGAACATATTTTCGGCGCACGAAAAACAAAGCGGTCTATTAATTAGCGCGTGATTAATTAATTATTAGCTAATTTTTTTAAAAAATGGATCAATATGATTTTTTTAAACAACTTTCGTATAGAAAGTTTTTTTAAAAAAAACTCAATGGTTAGCCGTTTAAAAAAACATGCGCGTGGAACTCGAGGAATATGAGTTCCGAAAGTTGGGGAAATAACTCAAGACTAGATTAGCTCGGTTTGTAAGAAACGTATTAATTGTAAGGATAGCTCTAATACTGATTTTACTTGCATGGGTTTAGAGCGAGTACAATAGTAGGCTACAAGTCAGCTGTAAGCACATGTGGAGGAGAGATGACAAGATAGAGAAGGAAAGCGAGCTATAAATTTACAGCCAGCTTAGCACGGACTCCAATACATTATGAGTGTATGGGAGGTGGGACCATATATTAATGTTTTAAGATATGTTTATAGGTAACTATCTATCATCTATTATATACTGAAAGTCTATTAAACTTCCTATAAACGCTCTCAAGCCACCACATGGTCTCCTATAAACGCTCCTAAACTGACAAGTGGCAATCTAATAAAATAAACTGGTGGACCCATAGAATATTAGATTTATCCTTAAAAAGACTCCACAATTCGCGTCCTTTTCCTCTCCCACACCAGCCCACCTAAACATATACACGCTCTTCCTCTATTTGTCCTGATAGTGGACCGATTGAATACATCTGCAAACAAAACAAACGCATGTACGTATCCTCCTGTCGACTGCCGTACGTATGCATGCATATATGCGATTCTCCTGAGTACCTCTCTACTTTTCAGTTGATCTCTTTTTTCCTATTTTCTAACTAACACATTAATATAAAAACAATCGATCTAATTTTTTATTCATTTGAACTACTAATTTATAATTTGGTAGCTAAATAATCCAATACTCATATTACTCATATTTTACTATACAAAATTTGGAATAAATTATAGATCCATATCCTTAATTTGCATGGAAACTAATATATAACATTCGATTGGTTTAAACTGGTATATTATTTATAATTAAATAAATAAATCCAGATCTATATTACCATAGTATATAAAAATGAATTACATCACAGATCCTTATCCTTTATACGACAACCAAATAACAGTGAATGATTAACAAAAAAAGGTTACATATATAATCTTAAATCATTATATGTAATAAAGATACATTAAAAACCATCTAAATAACTCTTAAGACATCTCACGTTAAATTAGAAAAAAAATCTAAGAAAAGATTAAAAGAAAATCATCTTAGCATCAGTTTTCACTTACTACATCTATTTTCTAATCATTTTCGAGCGATCAATTATTTTCAGCAATTAGATATATTTTGAGGAAAACCTTAAACCGTCAAACTAAGAAAAAATAAAGCACCTAATCATTAGTTTTCACTCGTATACTAAAAATTAGAAACGCAAAGTCCCCTTCACATTCTGCTCCCCTCACATGTGCACATCACGATCCACAGTTGACCCATGCACTTTGCATGTCATCCAAATAGCAATGAAATACGAGAAAAAAAATTGCCAGCATATATTATATCATTATAAGTCACTCTATAAACATATATAGCTAAACTAAATCAATAGTAACCAAACAAATCATAGAAGCATGTAATACATTACATTCCAATATAATGATGCATGCACAGTTAGATATATTTAGTTGTACGATTGTGTTTACGATCGGTGCGTGAAGCCCCGCATACTCTACATGATACATTCATAGATGTGTTTCACAGCACGGAATCTTATTGAAGAAATCCATACCATCCAATTCATGTGTTTATTGTTAATAAAGAATGAGGACCCACATCAGTCTTAACTACTTAATATATCACCAAGGGTGATTGAAATTTTCTCAAAGTTGAGATGAAAGGTGTAATGCTCTATCATTATTCATAATATCACAAATTTTGAACTTATATTTGCAGTTGTATTAAATAAAATAGAAAAATATTATTAGAGAGTAAATCTAACCAATTGGAGAAAAAAGTTAGAAAATTTTGCTTCTTACATTTCACTTAGATTGAAAAGGCTACTGCCATAACAATTGCGTTAGATAATTGAAACAACTAACTAATAGGTTAGAAATTTTACCTAAGCAATGCTGAGAAGAAAATTTATGGAGAAATTATACTTTTGAAGCATGCCAGATATTCTTTGATTAGTATTCCGCACTCATAAGTGTCTCAACCGTAGCCTATGATGCCCGCCCGCGCGAATGCGCGGGCTAACTTCCTAGTTTTATTAATAAGCTATTAGTTTAGTTATAAATAAATTGAAGCTAGTAGTTGGCTATACTATACTACTATAAAATGAAATCAAATGAAGTTTCATAAATACACTGGCAGACTTAATATAATAAAATATATGCTCATGAATGGCATGCACGCAGAAAACCGACACCGTTGCATGGAGATGCATGCAAAGAGACACAAGAAACACGTTGTCATGGATCTCGGTGCATCCGATCCACAATCGTAGGCGTTGTCTGACTTTGATCACGCATGAACGCCACGTAACGCAACGGATATGCCTCGCTGCAGCCGTAGAATATACCACATGAAATCACGAGCAGTCAAGCTCGCATGTGATGTGCAACCCGGCCCCCCTGCAGCTCATCGATCGATCTTACACGTGGTAGCTATCCATCGATTAATTTCATCGTCTCATCTCTCGCCGCCTGTATATATAAAGAGGCCTCACTCTCAGCTACTCCACTCAGGCACTCATCGAGCTACATTTTGCTAACTATCCAGTACCAAGAACGGAGCTGCAAGGAAGAGACGTACGATGACCATGACGTCGACGACGACGAAGGCCATGGCGATGGCGGCGGCGGTCCTCGCCGCCGCCGCCGTCGCGGCGACGAACGCGCAGACGTGCGGGAAGCAGAACGACGGCATGATCTGCCCGCACAACCTGTGCTGCAGCCAGTTCGGGTACTGCGGCCTCGGCCGCGACTACTGCGGCACGGGGTGCCAGAGCGGCGCCTGCTGCTCCAGCCAGCGCTGCGGCAGCCAGGGCGGCGGCGCCACCTGCTCCAACAACCAGTGCTGCAGCCAGTACGGCTACTGCGGCTTCGGCTCCGAGTACTGCGGCTCCGGGTGCCAGAACGGGCCGTGCCGCGCCGACATCAAGTGCGGCCGCAACGCCAACGGCGAGCTCTGCCCCAACAACATGTGCTGCAGCCAGTGGGGATACTGCGGCCTCGGCAGCGAGTTCTGCGGCAACGGATGCCAGAGCGGCGCGTGCTGCCCGGAGAAGCGGTGCGGCAAGCAGGCCGGCGGGGACAAGTGCCCCAACAACTTCTGCTGCAGTGCCGGCGGCTACTGCGGCCTCGGCGGCAACTACTGCGGCTCCGGCTGCCAGAGCGGCGGCTGCTACAAGGGTGGCGACGGCATGGCGGCCATCCTGGCTAACAACCAGAGCGTCTCTTTCGAAGGGATCATCGAGTCAGTGGCTGAGCTTGTGTAGATCGATGAGTCGATCGTCGCCATGAGCGTTTTCTGCTTTGTATGCCTCTCGGCGTACAGGGCTTTTCAGCTTAGCTGCCTTTCAATAAAATCACTGATCATGGCGATCGACATGCAGAGCAGTGTTGTGTACGTAGTTGCTCATCTGAATAAATAAAGGGGCTGAGCCTGAGCTGCTGCCTAGCTCGCACCAACAGAGTCCGGCCGGGAGGAGTTGTAGTTTCTGAAGGTGAGCTAGCTAGCTTTGGGATCGATGTATGGATCAGCAATGTAACAATGTGTTGTGGAAGCCCGTAGCTACTAACTAGCTCATTGGTGCATGAAATATATGTCATTATCTGCTATATATGCGGTAGCCTGTCTGCATATAGTCGTTAATCACATCATATGAGTCGATTTGTTTTCGTTAGGAGACGATAGGCAAATAAAAGATAGATCAATCATAGAAAACATAAGATTTAACATGGAAAACCATTCCAAAGCAGGAGAGAAAAAACCACGGGCACCAGCCAGCAAAATATCTCCACTATATCGGGGTGAGGTTATAACGCCGCATGGCGGCTTATAAGATGTAAATATATATATGAGGTGAAACCCTAAAATGTATTACAATCCGTACCTTCACTTCGCTCCGGCAGAAGCTGGCCTTTATTAAGTGCATTTATTAAGTGCAAATGAATTTGGATCACAACCCAGCAAACTACACCTTGAGACAAATTCCTTCTTGCAGCATGAATCAATCCTTTACCCTGAACACAACAAAGACAAAAACACTTTCGGTGCCAAATAGCCTCTTGGGCTAAACCACTCTACCAACTTAGCTTGAGCAAAGCTCAAACTTAGCAACAGGAACAGGCTTTGTCATCATATCAGCATTGTCGAGGACGGATCCTCTCTAGCGGGTGATCGTGAGATCCCCCTTTTGTGAGTTCGGCCGGGGGGAAAAGGCACGCTTGTCGAGATCGTGTATCCGCCTGGAGATCTTTGAGACCGCGTGCGGGTGCCAAGATTATACAGGTTCGGGCCGCTATCAAGCGTAATACCCTACTCCTGCGTGTGATTTATGGTTGAGTGTTACAAAGGTTCCTAAACTCCAGGGACCACTCTCGCTCTTCCTCTCCTCGGGTCTAAGCTTACTGAGAGTCGTCCCCTTTCTCGGCGGGCAAGGTTCTCCTTTTATAGTTCAAGGGGATACCACATGCACCACCTCTACCTACTCTTTCACGGGAGGGGGACCCACTCTACCTAGACCAGACCACGATCCGTGCCTTCGCCCGGAAGCTAAGCAGCCGTCCATCCTCGAGTAGGGCCCAGCGCTGCCCGCCGCCTGACACGGGGGACAGCCCTGTCATTCCCTCTTAAATGAATGAAGACTTGTGGCAGTCCTTCTCACGTGGGTGGAGCTCTGGATGACGCTTCAATGGGACGGGGCATACCTGCCCCCACTCCGCCGGGTACAGGGTGGAACGTGGGGGCACGGCCGCCCGTCCGATCGGATGTGACTGGCGACAGGCCGATCACAGTCTAATCACGCCAAATTGACGTGGGTCAATCGGGCAGCACCGCACGTCCGCCCTTACTACATTAAATGCGGTGAGGGACGGTTGGGGCGCCGCGCATTGATGGCGGTTCAGCCTGAGTCTCCGCCGCACTCGCTCCCCTCGCCATGTGGTAGCTGGGCGAGGGCCTCGGGGCGAGGTAGCGCGAGGGCCCGAGGGGCGTGACGTGGCACCCCGAGGCCCCCTGGCTGCCTCTACGTCTTCCGAGGTGTGGGGGGAGGGCCAGGCTGTAGGGCCTCGTGGCTGGACGGGAAGGTAACTCCCCCGTATTTCGCATACCCCCAGGCCTATATCACCGACAAGCATGATTATCATGAGTGCTTGTCTTGCATACCTTAAGCTTACCTTGCGCGACTACATCACGAACATAATGGTACTTGATATCAATGTGCTTTGTCCTCTTATAAAACATCTGATCTTTAGTGAGGTATATGGCACTTTGACTGTCGCAAAACATGTTAATGCAAGAATCAACTCCACAAAGCTCAGCAAAAACAATCCTTTCAGCCAAACTGAATATTTATATGCTTCAGTAATAGCCCTGTATTCTACTTTAGTGGTAGACTGAGCAACAACAGGCTGCAATGTTGCCTTCCAACTCACAGCACAACTGCCAATAGTAAACACCTAACCTGTGAGTGACCTTGTCTTATCCAAATCGGCATTAAAATCTGAATCCACATAGCCAACAAGCCCCTTATCAGTTCTGACAAACTTCAAGCAAGTACCAGTTGTGCCTCTGACGTACCTAAAAATCCACTGAACAGCTTTCCAATGTTCTTTGTCAGGATTAGCCATGTATCTACTAACCAAACTCATAGCATGAGATAAATCTGGACGGGAGCAAACCATGCCAAACATCAAAGAACCAACAGCACTAGAATATGGAACTCTTGACATGTATTCTACATCCTCATCAGTACTAGCACATTGTAAAGCTGATGATTTAAAATGAAGTGCAGTAGGAGTACTAACAGGCTTTGTATCATGCATGTTAAAACGCTGAAGAACATTCTTAATGTAACTTTGCTGACTAAGAAATAATAAACCAGAATTTCTGTCTCTAGTGATTTCCATATCTAGAATTTTCTTAGCAGCACCAAGATCCTTTATATGAAACTCACTACTCAGTTGTTTCTTCAATGTACTGATTTCTTCCTTGCTCTTGGCAGCAATCAGCATATCATCAACATATAACAACAAGTATATAGGTGCTCCATTAACAAATTTAATGTACACACAGCTATCAAATTCAGATCTCTTAAAGCCATGTGACAATATAAATGAACCAAACCTTTTATACTATTGACGAGGAGACTGTTTCAAACCATATAAGGATCTTTTCAACTTACAAACATAATCCTGCTTAGAAGGTACTATGAACCCTTCTGGCTGGTCCATGTATATTTCCTCCTCAAGCTCTCCATGTGAAAATGCTGTCTTCACATCTAACTGCTCAAGCTCAAGATCATGCATACAAACAATACTAGAGAATGTGCGAATTGAACTATTCTTTACGAGAGAACACATCATTATAAACAACACCAGCAATCTGACTGAAACCTTTTGCTACTAACCTTGCCTTAACTCTCGGAGGCTCGCTGAGAGATAAACCCTCCTTTTTCTTGAAGATCCATTTACAACGGACAGTTTTCTTCTATTTTGGCAAGTGCACAAGCTCCCATGTGTAATTCTTCTCAAGAGACTGCATCTCCTCCTGCATAGCTTAGATCCACTTCTCACGATCACAAGAAACAACATCTTAAGTGTATCCCCGCAAAAAAAACATCTTCAGTGTATGTAGCCGGCTCAAGAATATTCTCCACCTGTTCACCACAACTAAAAGTATAATAAACCATATCACATTCCTCAATAAGACGGATTGGAGCTCCATAACTCCTCTTTGTTCTGCGATGTGCAATAGGTTCATCTTGTGGCTACAAAACAGGAGGTGAGTGCTGAACAGTATCATGAACATTATTATCAACAATTTTAGTTTCCTGATCATCCACGTGCTCCACCTGCATGCTAACATATTGCTGCTCCTCATCAGAACCACCTGGTATGACATCTGTAGACAAGCTGTCATTAAATATAACAGATTCATTGAAAACAACACTTCTGCTCATGAAGGCCTTATTAGTTTCAGGATTCCATAGCTTGTATCCTTTTACTCCTGAACCATAACCAAGGAACAAAAACTTAATAACTCTAGGCTCTAATTTTCCATTATCAACATGAGCATAAGCAGTGCATCCAAAAACTCTCATCTGTGAATAATCAGCAGGCATACCAAACCATACGTCAATGGGAGTTTTCTTACTAATTGGGATAGTAGGTGACCTGTTGATCAAATAGCAGATGGTGTTAGCGGCCTCTGCCCAAAAACGCTTGTTCATGTGAGCGTTGGACAGCATACAACGAGCTTTGGAGATGATGGTTCTGTTCATGCGCTCAGCCACACCATTCTGTTGTGGAGTGCATGAGATGGTGTGATGCCTAACCATGCCTTCCTTCCTACAGTAATCATGAAAAGCATCCAAACAAAATTCACCACCATTGTCAGTGCGAAGTACTTTTACCTCCTTTTTAGTTTGCCTTTCTATCGTAACTTTCCACTCTTTAAAAGCAACAAAAGTATCATCTTTATGTTTCAGGAAATAAGGCCACACTTTTCTAGAGTAATCATCGATAATGGTAAGCATATAACGAGCACCACTAAGAGAGGGCTTACGTGAAGGCCCCCACAAATCAGCTTGTACATAATCAAGTATACCTTTGGTGCGATGAATTGAGGTATTGAATTTTACCCTCTTATGCTTACCAAAAACACAGTGCTCACAGAACTTCATGTTACCCTGAGTGCAGCCATTCAGCAGGTTCCTCTTCATCAATTCTGCCATACCAAGTTCACTCATACGTCCAAGACACATATGCCACAGGTTAGTTTTACTAGGTTCATTTTTAGAAACAGCAGCAGTGGTAACAGAACTATGTAATGTACTTCCCCTGAGGACATATAAGTTAGCAGAATTCATATCACCTATTATACCTTTACAACTCCACCTGAACCAGAGTATTTGTATCCTTCTGCATCAAGTGTGCTGGGAGAGATGAGATTTCTCGCCATCCCTGGTATGTGTCTCACATCTTTCAGCGTGTGTGTCGTGCCATCATGTGTCTTGATCTAAACGGAGACAATGCCCATAATCTCACGTGGGTTATCATCTCCGATACGCAGAACATCTCCATTCTGCACATACTTGTAAGAACTAAACCAATCTCTATTAATGTAGATATGAAATGAACATACAGTATCAAGTATCCATTCATCATGACCAGCAACGCAACCAGCAAAAATGACAAGACAATCTCCTGAATCAGAGTTTTCAGGACCGGTAACGACAGAGGCCTTACCATCAGATTTCCTTTTCTCCTTATTCTGCAGCTTCCTACGTTCTTCAATGAAGTGATTTTTCTTTTTGCAATACTTACAGAACTTTTTACCTCTGGACTTCGAACGGCCTCTACCGTTCTGGCTCTTGTCACGATCATTGCTGTCGTTGTAGGTTCTCTGCTCAGATCTGCCACTAATCTGCAATGCTTCGCCCTTGGAGAACGATGCATGAGACTAAACCATACCTTTCATCTTCTCCCTGTTTTGGAGTACCTCATAAACTTCCGCAAGGGTTAGATCATCACGGCTTTATAGTATGGTGTTGTTTACACCCAAATTTGGCACCTAGGATTAAAATAGGGAAATTGCCAAAGTTTGGACGATCTACCG